CATCATCACTGATGAGTCTCTGCAAGATGCCACAGCTGTTTCTTTGAAAAAAACAGTGCTTGCATCATCACAGTAACAAGAATCCAATCAACGCTTGAACGCGTCCAACGTAACAGTCACAAGAATCCAATCAATGCTTGAACGCGTCCAACGTCACAGTCACATGAATCCAATCATTGCTAGAATGTGTGCAGTGCCAGTCACAAGAATCCAATTACCATCAGAACGCGTGCAACGTCACTGCCACTGGAATCCAAACAGCGTTAGAAAGCTAGAATGGACCGCCCCAAATGCACACATTGTTAACGCACTAATGCTAATTTAAGTTTGAGACTTTTAAATAAGTCTGTGAATATATTAGGAATCCTTTAAGTATACTTGTATTTGCTGATTTCAAGTCGTAAATAAATTAATAGATGATTAAGTTAAGAGACTGTTATAGACACATAAAAACTAATTCCGACACAGCTTGGAATTAGACATACACAGCTCGTTCCAATCTGGGTGCAAAAATTAAAATTTTCTTAGTTAAAAGCTTAATAGCTCTTAATTAAAAGCCTATATAAGTAGTGTTCAATATTCAATAGTGTTCTAATTCCAAGCTGTGTCATATTCCAATACAGCTCACACAGCGATTGGAATTCGAACACAAGAGTCTCAGCATTACAAATTAGTAGAGTTTGAAGCGCGGCCAGAATTAGTCTCACAAAATGCCAAATTTAGTTGCACAGTGTTGCACTGTGTAAGAATATATGAATTTGGTAGGTTTGCATTCTAAAGGCTTTTAAATAAATATGGCAACATTTCGTGACGCTTCAATGTTGCTGGCGTCAGTGGCGTGTAGTGCCGTGTTTGGAGAGTGAGGTAAAGCAAACAGAACGCGAGTTGCACATACGTTTTTTTTATAGTCATTCATTTTTTGCTACATCCTTAAAGTGTTGGAATATACTGCATTTACCCTACTTCAACATTCCCACCAAAATATCCTGCACAACGTAACAACAAGTCAACCTAATACGTTTCCATATAGGGTAAACACACCATATTCCGACACCTTAAGGACGTGTCAAGAAATAAATGGCTATAAATAGATCAGCGTATGCGCCAGCATTGATAAAACGTCACAAACTGTTGCCATATTTATTTAAAAGCCTTTAGAATTCAAATCTACCAAATTGCTGAATTCTGACACTGTGTGTGACTGAATGCAGCATATTGTGAGACTAATTCTGACAGTGCTTCAAAATCGTAATTTGTAATTCTGACACCCTGTGTTGGAATAGGGTAAACACGCCATATTCTGACACTGTGGATAATTCCGACACCCCTCAACTTTTTCCTTTATATTAAGCTTGGCCTTAGTTCCACACGTGCGTGGATGGTTGAAATAGTGACATCATACTATTGCATGCAAGATTTCCGCAAAACACTAGGTCTAGCAGGAAAATGTTAAGATCTGCAGAGCGAAAGTCCAAGTCAACTAGTGAAAACTTTGAAACCTGTATGAAAGTTGAAAGTCAACCTTGCTTTACTAAATAGTGGTAAACTGTTTGTGTAGAAAGAATATTATGGTTTGAGACTTTTAAATAAGTCTGTGTATATATTAGGAATCCTTTAAGCATACTTGTATTATCGCATTTTAAGTGGTAAATAAATTAATAGATGATTAATTTATGAGAGGGTTTTAGACACATAAAAACTAATTAACATAACACAGAGAAAACACATTGTGTCAGCCCAGTCTGTGCAGATGGAAATGAAGTTCACCTCCTTATTGCATTCAAATTGAAACACCTGCACTTCACCCCAATAGGGTAGGAACTCAAGCATAGCTGCTCATTCAGTATGCAATAATTATTTGAGGCTGGATGACAAGCAGCCTTGTTTAGAAGTTTCTCTGCAAATTTGCTGAAACAACAAAAATACAAATACAAATTTCCAGATTTTTGAGTTTCACAATCTACAAAACTCGCATACGCAACACTTGAACTGTCAATCTAGCAGCCAAAAATCAAATAAGTAACCCCAAACTGTGTATGCTGCACAGATAGTCATCAACCCTTGGATGTGGCAAGCTTAGCTTATTGGAGGCATAACTAGGAAAAATGATATTAGAATTCTTGCCCCTTCATGAGGAGGATTTGTGAACATGTTAAGTTGTGTGTCAGACAAGCCTTCCTGAAAAAATATTAGTGCAGCTTTTGTATGAAGGGGATTCATCTTCTGAATAAGTCAATGTATGACAATTAATGTCTGGATAAAAAATTCAAAATGTATCATTCTTGGGGGAGGACTGGAAAGCGAAAAGATGTGAATGGCAGTCCAATCTGTCAACCTTCATGTGCAGAAAAAGAAAATGAGCTAGTTGAAATTGACTACAATGTTTCCACAGCAGGAGACATGTGGTCCTGATATTATTTGTAGAGGAAAGTGAGAAAGAGCATTATAGAGAAAGAAAGAGGAAGCCAAAAATATAGTGAAAAGTCCATTACAGCAACAGAATAAGTGGCAGAAGCAAATCTACCAAGACAAGTAGACAATGTCTTATATGAATTGAGCATTAAAATAAAAACAATAAATAAATTAGACAACTGGCCAACCTAAAGCGACCTGAAGAAATGTTGGAAAAAAAACCATACTTAAGTGTAACCAATTACACAATAGAATAGAATAGAATAGAAGTGTCGGCGCTGAAGAAATAGGCCCATGGCCTGTTGCCGATTCTTGAACTTTTCGTGACTTGATTCACAAGGGATCCGGCCTTTGGAACCCGATCTTTCCATAGCTGACGATTGATTGAGATAGCTGCTGGACATCCTGCATCTAGGAACTCGAAAGAGCGTCTGATCAGTCCAAGTCGTTTATTGGCTTTATTAACTTGACCTTCAATATGCTTAGAAAATTTCAACTTTTCAACAATGGCTGACTATCAGATCATATGACAGGCAATGACACTAATGGACTATACATGTAGCATTTATCAGTGCTCTACAATGAACCAAAGCCAACTTACTATTAGGACAAGCCAAACAAATTTTTCTAGTGACAAAAACTCTTATGTGACTTATATTGAAGCTGACTTCCTACAACACAAGACAGTAACAAGTGGTTGCTTCATCAACTAATGTGTTTCTAGGTGGGTAATATTGAATATCAGGTCTATTCTCTGATTGAAACCCTTGTAACGTAAAAATTACCAGTTGGTCCTGTCTTACTGGAATGAATTGCTGTCTACCAGCAGTTTCATACTTCCATCACATAGTAGTGTCAGGTGTCTGTTTCTGGGACCACCTGATGGATTTGTACTGAGAGTCTGGGTACTTATTGTTCCAAGTGTGACTAAGGCAGGACAAGTGAAACACGATTAACGCTAGAACTATTATAATAATAAACTGGCTCGGTGAGTACAGAAGGACGAACTGAGAGTCTGGGTACTTATTGTTCCAAGTGTGACTAAGGCAGGACAAGTGAAACACGATTAACGCTAGAACTATTATAATAATAAACTGGCTCGGTGAGTACAGAATGACAGGGATTGACAGGTACAGCACAAGTATGTGCCAGAGGAGCGGCTAGCAAGATGACGGCTAGGCAGTACCGCTACAACTGACGAGCAGTGCACAGATCGAGCTATATATATAGGCCTTAACAGGGATGACGTCACTGAGTGTGACTCTACCATGTGGGTACAGAACATGTTATAAGAGGGTGACGTATGATAACCTAGAGGGTGATAGAAGATCACCTGACATCTCCCCCCGTGGGTATAGTCATAAGTCATAAGTTCATATCATATTATATAATCATTTTGTTTATAATTACACAAATCAGCTCCTACAGTGTAAAATAATCATTTTGAGGTATAACATTTCTGATATAATCTTTGCAGTCCACAATTAATTCAATTCTGACTGCAGTCACTGTTAATATAAATCAAAAGTTCCCATTGTATTCTATAGAAAATGCATGCTGGTCATTTTTGACCCTCTTATGCAAACATGTGGTAGTGATAGAAAAACTAAATTTTCTTAAAATTTATAAAATGTGTGGTAAATGTGTAAATATGATGTGCATAGAATGTCATAGATAGAATTGTGCACTGGGCAACATAGAATGAGAACTGATAAAGCTTAAGTACAATATAATTCTCTATAAAATATGATGATTGTCACTAAAATAATCCTCTCTCTTCAGGCATGTTTTTTTACTATTTTTATTGTTATAGTGAATTCACTTGACCCTATTAAAATGCACTAAATTACAAGCCCACTCCTGTAAGCTTAGATAGAGAAGAAATGCTATATATATGGCTGCTTATATGAGGCTTGCAATGAACAAGGTTGTTGTCAATGCTCAATGGTATGTCAATGGATATTGTAATATCACATCAATAAAACAGTAATGGATGGATATGGTAAAATCATTTCATTAAAGGAAAAACAAGTATAAATCACAGGAAATGTAATTAATTCTACAACTACATCATCTACAAAGGAAGAGGAGGATGTTGTTGTACCTACTGTTACTAAGGAACTAGTACACTTTGCATGATTAGGTTTTATTTCAAGTGTCTTGAATTGCCTCCTTCCCAGGGGTAATATGGGATGCTTTTATTTTGTGTCTGGCACCGTACAAATAGCATATAGAATTTTTTCGGAGAAACCATATGATAGCCCTCACAAAGACCTTCAAAATGAGCCCAAATTCATAAATGAAATGTTTCATTTATTAATAAAAAACTCTCAAAATCATCCATTTTTTACACGTTGGATGGTATATTCCAACCCTGAAGGCTGGTTATTTTTTACTTCTGACTTACTACAAAACGACTGCAATTTAATAATCACTGTAGTGATTTTACATTAAATATTGGTACAAAAATTCAATTGGGAATTCATAAAGCATATATCACACAAATGTGGCTTCAAATTGCTTTATCCCGACTTGAAAGGTGTCACTTTCATTATGCTAAAAACCACTTAGTACGATAAGTAGACAAATTCCCCTTTGGATATGACAATGTTATTCTTCTTTCCTAAGGAAATATACTTAAAAGGACAAGAAATTTGAGGTTTCAAATATTTGGACTGAATTGATTGGAATTAATGTAAGAAGATGTCAGCATCATTCAGTAGGGTTGGTGATGAAGGAGTCAATGAGTCCCTGTTGAAACAGCTTGCATCCTACATGGAGGATATGCAGCGCCTGCTTACCAAGCTACATCAGCTATGGAAAGAAGTTGGATTTTCTACGTCAGATCAGCTCAAACGAATTGCTGATCTCAAGGTACAGAATTTGGCTCTAAGCTGTGTTCATTTCTTCTAACTGAACTACAGTTTATTCATTACTGTATGTGAATTGAAAGTTTTTGTGATCATGGGACTAACTTGTCTTTTCCACTTATAATACTAATTTTCAACAGATTTTAATTAATTAAGTTGTTGCTTTTCATGGAACATTTCCAAATTTAAACTCTTATTATATATGTATTAAAAATTTAACATGAATACTCATCATTGCATATGTTATTATTGATATTTTTTCAATTTTTAACAGAACCGCGTTAAAGAGTTTTATGCTGAGGAGAAGGCTCACAAGAAGATGCTCATCGATGAAGTTGAAGAAAAATCAAAAGAAGTCTTCACATTATCAAAAGTATGTTTGATAATTTTCTCAAATTGTGTGATTTATGTAAAGTATTTTATTTTTTGCTAAGCTAAATGAAGAGGGGTTTAATTTTTTTAAAGTAAGACTAGTAATTTTATTACCTTGCCAATATTAATTATTTTTAGTTGGTTGATTTGTAATTTGAAACATAAATATGGCATGTTTGCTTGAATCATACTCTTCATTTGGGAGTCTACTCAATAGTGCCATCCACAGGTGAGGGGCGTTAAGTGGATATAATCTCTGAAAAACAATAAAATTATAATTAAAATTTCCCATGTATTTCCATGGGAAATCCATTCCCTACTATACCCATCCAAAGGTATGGATAATTTTTCAATCAATGCCATCAGTTCCATAACATTTGCCTGGTGAACGACACTGTCATTAGCATTTGTTTTCCCTACAGGAACTGGGAGTAAATGCAGATGAGCTCTACACCAATGACAGCCTCTCCCTCCTGCAAATGGACCAGCACCTGAGCCATCGCCTCCAGTCCCTCAGGCAGGAGGTCTCCAGCAGACACAAAGATCTACAAAAGCTGCTCAAAGAAGAAGAGGTGATTTGTTTTAAATAAATTAGTAATTAATTAATTGTCACATTACATCTTTAATATCAGAAATATTGTGAAGACTTTTTTGCCCAAATTAACATGTTTCAATTTCTGACATTGCTGGATACAGCCACATTCATATTTGTTTTTATGATTCTTATGGTTTAGGTCTCCTTACCATCAACTCTAGTCTGATAAAAATTGTTCCTCTTCTGAATTGATAAGTAATTGTTTCTGCATAAATTTAATAAGCTTAACTAAATATTTCTCATGTCACAATAGTGTAAAGCAATCAAATTGAGTTTTGGTATAGAACTTCATCTGTAGTTTGCTTGCAGGAATTGTGTTCTGAGTTGCTGGAAGAGGTCTCATCTCCTTGTGCTGGCACGGTGCCAAGCAAGGAGGAAATTGCCAGCGTACAGCGCAGAATTAACACTCTGATGCAGGAGAAGGTGAGGGCAGCAAGTGGGAATCAAGAACTTTGATTGAAAATATTTTCATTGCTTTTAAAGGTGCCTTGATTGATTGGAAATTATCCCCAAGTGGTTTTGTGAGTTTGCCACTGAATTTGAACAAAAATACCATTATAATTTCAGATACCGGTAAACTAAATTCATTTATTATTATGCAGTGGTAGACAGATTTATATACTTATTGCACATGTTCTAATTTTATTTTTCAATAACTGCAAAATAATCTTCTGGTTCTGATGTATGAATTATTTTTTAATTTTCTTATTTCTCTTTATTTATTTTCTTGGGAAATATTGGAGACTTATTGACATTTAATTGAATCCAGTGGAATGATATCATAATCACATCCACAGAAACATCGTCTACACACATTCCGCGCGCTCAAGGAGCAGATCTCAGGATTGATCGTTGAGTTGGACCAGCCTGCAAACAGCAGCTTCCCCACGAACATCATTCACTCAAACGAAGGCCTTGGTACACTTTCCCTTCACAACCTTGACGCCATGAAACGTCTCAAGTCTGATCTCACTGCTAAGGTAATCTATCTGCACGTATTTGGTTTTTTGTTTGGTCTCGGCAAATGCTTTAATGCTCACACAGCAAAATGCTTTATCTGTCATGTTATGTTTGCCGTTTCATTTCAAGTGTATTGATATGCCGCCTATTTTGGCCTGAAGAGATATTACTTTATTACTGTTATCGTATAAGAATCTATGGCCACCATGTACATATGCACAGGCACAAAATATCAGCAAATACAAGATATAAGAGGGACTCGAGTCTTGCTAAGCATCTTGATGCCTTTCTATATAAAGGTTGGACTCTTGAATAAAATGTTATTGAAATAATTTAATAAAGCACATATATAAATTTTATGAAAAATTCGCAATCAATAGTGAGGTAGTGCTGATCTTTGAAATTTGTACAGTTTAATTAGATACCGGTAGTCCTTTAAAATAACTAAATAAATAGGATCACAGTACAACAAAAGGCATTTAATTTGAATTTCATTTTGTTTTTGATCATGATCACGCTAACGTTAGAACATTTTAATAGCATCTGTTGGTTAATTCCTAATCTTAAAATGTTGGACTGCTGTTTCTAATCAGGCTAATTCCTTGCAGGTTTCTGCTAACAAACGAGAGTTGAAACAGCTGCAACAAAAAGTCCAGGAGTTGTGGGACCGTCTGTCGGTGCCTCAGTTGGACAGAGAGCACATGCTGCTTGACAACATCTCAGGAAAGACTCCGGCTGACCTTACTTTGGTGAGATTTCTAACATTATATCAGTCATTGATTCCAGGATTTATTTAAAAACTTCCTATGTGCCGACTTAACTTTAAGTAAAATGATTTGATTTTTTTTGTGGTAATTTTTCAATTAAAGTAGTTCAATTAAACTCTCATGTCACACATTTTTTTTAGTTTTTAAGGATCAGTATTGAGTATGTATCTCTTAATATGACTTGGAGTTTCTGAAACATTCCATGACTGGCAGATTAGGTTTGAGTAACTCCTCCTGAAATGAAGTTCTACTTATATATATTTATGTCTCGATAATATAATAAAACCTGTTCTGCACGTCATGGTACTCAGGCACATTTAATTATTTCAGTACCGAGCAGAGTTGCTCCGTCTGGAAGAAATGAAGAAAGCGAATATTTCTCGCAATATTGATGCCTTGAGAACTGAGGTAGAGCTTTGGTGGCAGCGATGCTACGTCGGGGATGACGAAAAACTTCAATGTGAGGTCTGTAACTGTACCTTCTTCAACAGACTCTTTAATGGATGTAATTTGCGTTCAGATTTAATGGATTAATATATGTATATATTTTTAATTATGGTCTAATAATCGGTTTGGTGCAATAATTGGTTGTAACGATTTTATGGGAAGCTATTTTCCCTAAAGTATATCTTTCAATGGTATAATTTTTGTTACAATTGACTTTTATCATTAATTATTTTAGTTTATTTTGCTCGGTATCTAAAACGTCTGCGCTGGATAAGGTTGCGCCGAAAATAGGAATAGAAGACTAAATTTTTTCATGCGCTTTAACGCACCAAGGAGAGTGTATAAAAAAAATGTGAATTTTGAACTATTTATTTTTTCTTATAAACTCGACCACTAAAAATCTTTTTTAGGTCTTCTACAAGACCGAGACCAACGACGAAGTTCTTATGGGACTGGAAGCCGAAGTAGAGCGCCTGAAAGAGAAGCATGCAGCGGCCCAGCACATCTATGACAAGCTTGACCTCAGAGATAGCCTGTGGAATAAACTTATTAAACTAGAGCTCGGACCCAATGATCCATCACGGTGAGGAGTGTTAAATTAAACTACTACATTCCGGTCATTCGTTCTGTCATGGCGAGTATATTAAGTGTTCATATCCACGTATAGAAATAACTTGTCTTTTGGCTCCCTGTGAGAAACTGAGTTCTTTTTTTAGCTTCACTCAATGCGTGTTTAACTATCAAAAAGCTTAACCTTGATTTGCAATTTTATATCTACATTTTCATTTTTAAAAAAACGATTGATTAAACTTGAAAGTAACAGCTTAGTTTCCTATTTTTTCGTAATTCCGGCTGTCCTTATGCTGCTAGAAATGCAGGCGTTTTAGAAATTATGAGAATCTTGTAATTTTCTTGATTATCATAAATTTTCTACACCCTATGAGCTAGTATCGTAATCTTTTAAAAATATTTTTAATTTCTCGATCCACCTAATGAAGTTCTTTCATTAGCTATAAGAATCTTGTAAATACTTTGTATTATCTTGATAACATCCTGTTCCTATAATATTTTATTGTTCACAGCCTCTTCAAGAACCGGTTACGCGCGTTCGACACGCTGCCGCGCGTCGAAGCTCAACTCAAGGTCTGATAATTAGTCTCTACCTTGCACTTTAGAATTAACCCCTGGATTATTAAGCATTCAAGCTTTTGAATTATTCACGCCAATTGACTTCTTAACGGATTAATTAATTTCGTATTGATTGATGTGAGGAGATTTGTTTGCAAAATTTTTTATTTCCAATCAAGTTCCGTATTTAATGTGCCTCAATGCGTGAAAAATTCTCCGTTACATCTATACTTATCCTTTAATTATTAATTTGAGAGCATACGATATCTGTACAAGGATTGGTTATTACCAAGAGCACAATATTATGTGATATAATATTAAATGTTCATGCAAAGTGCTTGTATTATAATTTTCAATTACATGGTTAAATGTAGTGAAATAGACATTATAATCCTAATCTTAATAGCTGGTTTTATTGGCTAATCATCAGTACCTTAAAATTGGATTTTCACTATCAATGCTGAATTATAAACATTAATTCTTGTACCTGACTAATTTGTTATTCAACTTTATGGGTTTCTTTCATGTAATCATGACAAGTCATGTAATCATCACAATCCTTGGTTTTATTCTTAGAATGTGGGCAAGTTGTAGGCAGTGGAGGACAAACATTTAATTTCAAAGCCATGCGATAAGGAATTAACATTAGTGAACATTTGTGATGACAATAATACTTCGTATAGACTTCAGTATTATTCACTCGCCTAATTTCCTTTTTTTTTTTGTTTATATTATATTTACTTTTTATCCACAGGAATCTGTAAGTGCTTGGGAGTTAGAGCAAAAAGTCCGTCTAGGCAGGCCAGTCGTGTTCACCGTACGGGGCGTGCCATTACACGACTTCATGCACCGGGAGCAGTACACGGACAGCAAACACCTGCAGGCCAAGGAGAGGGTTAGTGCTCATATCCATGCGTAGATTGTTTTGTAGCTGCTTCTTGGTAAGTTGAATTCTTAATACGTTTGATATGTTATGTGAGAGGCCATGTTGTAACTGCAATATCTTGTAATCCATAAATTTGTTTGTTAACAGTATAATGTACTGCTCATTAATTGTAGCTGCTGTGTAGTGGCTATATGCTGTGTAGTGGCCAAGGTATGAACAACGAGGCTTTCACATTCTGAGTGACTGGCAGAGCTTTATGTACGAGACTTGAGTAAAAAAAATGAATGTCAGGAGCGAAACTTTTAAAATCAGAAGACTGAGACTAGAATAATTGTTCGCGTGGTTCGCCAAGCAAGTACCGAAAACCCACCCATGTATCAACCTTCTAACGTCATTCTCATAGGTCGGAATTAAACTAACTATGCTAACTCTCGAATTCGACTTTGTTGCAAATTCATTCATGTAAACAATTAGCTATCTTGTAGCTGTTTCCACACATGGTTATCAGGCTACCAAAATCGTTGCAATGGCCTCCCATACTACTTATGTACCATACATCTTACATGTAATCTAGTCTAGTACAATCTATATTTATACAGGTTTGGTTGAAGACCAGAGCGTACTTTTTATTTACGATTTTCTTATTGTTTTTTTCGATAAGCCGAACGAAATTTCTAGCTGGAGCTTGGAGATCAAAAAGCAGGTTCTGGATTTCAGTTGACACTGAAATATATAGAGTTCACTACAATACAATCTATACGTATACTCGAGCTTCTAGTAGTGTAACATCCCTAATTTTTGAGAGCCTTCTAACCAGTTAACTCTAATTTGTAATTTGCGAAGAGATTTCAGTACCATGAAGAATATTCTTTCAGCTCCTGAAAATAGTTTTGGGCATAATCGAACTGTAAAAGTTTTTGGTCTTCGTTATATATGCTTCATCATTATCGTTAAAAAAATTTGTTCTTGCTCAGGTCTTCACTGAAAAGATTATGGGCGGTAGATAAATTTGAACTGGCAAAATAGATATTTGATCACTATTAATTTGAGTTACATTATAACATTTTTGAGATTTTCCAGAGTCAACGAAGAGTCCTAACAGACCACTCTCCCAGTGGTCGTCGCGATGTTACTCTCCGTCAGTCGCGACGTCTGCGTGCCAAAGGCGCCGCCACAGGCGGCCGCATCTGCTCGCTTACGGCTGGCAAATGTGCTCTAATACAGTCACCGTCTTGGTAAATATGTTTTGTCTTCAATGTCGCGGCATCTCATCTACTTGTTGCTTTCATCGTTTTGTGGTGTTGGTCCAATTATAAAGTAGCCAATTCAAAAACGATAAATTGCTCACAAATCTGCGCTGAAAAATTTATTGCATATCTAACTAGTAGGTTTAACAGTCTTTTCTTCTTTTGCGCTGATTACGGTAAGAATAGCGAAAGAATTGACTCGAGTCTGCCTGTTCATAAAAAGTTCATAAGGATATTTAAATAGAATACACCGGCATTGAAACTTGCCAAAACGCGCGTCAAGTTATTTCAACGTGTAACTTTTTAATTGGATATATATTTTCAATAAAAACCTTATTTTATCAAGTGAAAATCTGTATTTGAAGGATAACCCAGTTGTCCAAAGGCAATGAAATATAAATCCCAATTTAAATTATTGTACCGTGTGTCAAAGAAAATTGTTTACGATGTTTTTTTTTTATTTTAACCTTATAGCACACATATTCTCTACAATCTACTAAAGTTTCTCATTATCTAATTTGATATAAAATAATTTTTTAATAGTTGCACAGTGTTTTAAACATCGCTTCATGATTCAGCCACAAGTCTTTTTCTGACATCTGATGACCTCGCTGCGTATCTAAATTCGTTTGGACCTAATGTCATGGAGGCAATCTTGCGAAGACGTTTCCGCTTGCTTGTTCGTTCACCAGGTCTGATCGTGGATACGATCACCGCAGGTCTTGGACCGTGTTAATCAGGTCTGATAGTGGATACGATCACCGCAGGTCTATTGGACCATGTTCACCAGGTCTGATCGTGGATACGATCACCGCAGGTCTACTGGACCATGTTCACCAGGTCTGATCGTGGATACGATCACCGCAGGTCTACTGGACCATGTTCACCAGGTCTGATAGCGGATACGATCTCCGCAGGTCTATTGGACCATGTTCACCAGGTCTGATAGTGGTGTTTGGAGTCTTTATTGTTAAACAGCCAAAATATATTTGCTCATCCATATTTTTTGCTCCCGAAATTTTTGCGTGATTTTTTACCATAACCAGAAGTAATATTCGACATCATTGGTCATCAGAAGACAGCAAAGCCCTTCATAGTGTCAAGGTGGTCTCAATGAGTTTATCACGTTAGTGATCAAACAGAGCCTAAGCATGGGCTACATAGTGATGTTACATCTGATAGGATTTTATTTAATACCTTAATCAACTAATATATTACGAAAATCAATTTTCTTGAGATTTTCGCTTTCACAGTTAAATACCGTTCTGATTAATAGAATAAGAATGGGAATATTTCAACTAAATAAGTCGGTGGTGAAATTGCGTGCCTGTAATATGACAACAATGTCCAATTTTTATTGTCCGTTGTCCATGATTAATCATGGATCAATTGCAGCTATTCAGCTTCCAAGCATTTGTATAATGCATTTAATTATTATTATTATTTTTTTTTTTTGAAGCTGGTCACGAGTCAAACGTCTACGGTCAAACAGCCATTCACGATAAAGCTGGGCAGTACCGTCGTAGTCCAAACCACAATTTCACTAAAAAACGCCACCGAAATCAACGGTTCATGGAAAGCTTGACATTAACTTATCACAATAATTACGTACGATGATGAACCGTTGATATCCCTACCAGTGTGCGAATAAAGCTTCTCTATTTGAAAATTTCTGTAATTATTATCCTTCAAATTTTAAGTATAAATTAAATAAGTTAAGTATTAAGTAGTTTGCCAGCACCGACTGCACGCAGGTTCTTTACAACAACCGTAATTGCAAGTGGCATAAAATTATCCTTAACTGCAATAAAAGACGCTCACGCCTCAAGACCTCGGCCGTTCCCAAGCCTGAAATAGTTACGTTCAAATGTCAAGTGAACAAATCATGGCAACGTCCTTGATGATCTGCTGGCATGCAGGTCTCGGACAAAAACGCGGCCTGTCTTCAGTGAGTGAGCGTAGAATATCTCGCACAATACTGAACGTAGCTCGATGAAACTTGGTACACATAATCATTAGAGCCTAACGGTGATGTTTAGCTCGACTTTCTGAAGAAAAGTCTACGGTTCACCACATATCAGCNATATTGTAATCAATATATAACAAATAGTCAAATAGTTAAAGACTACTTATAGCCTTGTAAGAATTAGCTAAGCTGCTAGCTACATACAATGTATTGCACACTTGATGCCTCTGTACCAAAAACATTCAATTTATTGGAACCTAATACACACTAAAGGCAACAAGTTTATATACCAATTTGTCATTTATAGTACATTTATACTAAACCATGAATAACAATACCTCAATTAGGCTCAATATAAATTAAAGACTGCCACGCAATATATTTAAATATATGAAAAAATCAAAAAAATAAAAAAAAAAAATCATGATTTTTTATAAAAAAATCAAGTGATTTAATCACATGATTTAATCATTTTGATTTAATCATTGCCAACCCTGTTCAAACGTGTTATTACTTGTAAAAATTTTCCTGAATGTAGGTATTAAAAATGACAGCATTGAGAAAATTGCTTGTGCATTAGCATCATAGCATGCACTACGTATAGCGGCCATGGTGGTTTTTGAGGAAATCCTTGGGCATTTAGCCCCAGCACTCTAGCAGGCACACTGTGGCGCTCCAAAGCAAAAAAACCTAGATCTAGGTTTTATGCTTCCTGCTAGACTTCTAGGTTTTTCATTAACAAACTGATCTTAATATAATTTTTTTCAGAATTTTGCACTGAATGCAAAAATCTGTCAATAATTATTGCCAAGAAAGGGAGAACTGCTACGAGACTTACGAGATGGAGCCATTTTACAGGAGATATGAAAGTAGATTACTGGATGCAAGACATGTTGATAAAGCTGCTGTTTATGAGGATGATGAGGAGGAATGATAATTGTAATATGTTAAATGCCTGTTCATTGTTCAAAAATGTTAGAAATATGTTAAATTGTAATTTATTTTCATCCCTCTATATTCATACTGCTCATTCATATGTGAACAACAAGGAATTAATACAATTAATTACATGTTAGGAGAAATCTTGTTTTTTTTTTTAATTATAATCTGGGTTTTTAAAAAAATAGTCACTGGCACTGGTAGTGGTATTCTCGTAACCGTAAGGGGTAACTTTGGTCTTAAGAAATAGTTGGTTACCAATTAAAAAAGTTAGGTGTCAGTAAAATGGCTGACTAGACAAAAGTATCACTAGGGTAAATGCGGTATATTCCGACACATTAAGGACGCATCGAGAAATGAAAAACTATAAAAAAAACCGTATGTGTTACGTAAGTTTTGTTGCCTTCACATGACTCTCAAAACACTTCACTACGCGACAGCAACGATGAAACGTCACAAAATGTTGCCATATTTATTAAAAAGCCTTTAGAATGAGCCTATGGAAAACAGGCGCTCAACTGCAGCACTGGATGGGATGGCTGTGTTGTACTTAACAAAAAGGTTCATCAACACCTGCTCGCCCAAGAAGGCAACGTCAGTCAATTCCTCCATCAAGCTGCTTTCCAGCCTGGTCTTCACCAAATTCTGTGCCTTGGACTTCAGTGACCCATGGCTCCTCCTGCACTCCATGGACTGAGTAATGCTGCTGAAGAGCCTGAAGAAGTCATCTTTCCCATCCTCGTCATTGCTGGTGGTGCTGCTGCCCTCCTCAACGGTCTCCCTCAGAGCTGTCTCCACGGCGGTCTCCATGGCTTTCTGTACCCGTCTGAGATGGCTGTTATTATGCTTTTCCAGCCAGAATAGGCAAAACTTAGGGTGGAAGGCTGCTGCCAGCTGGCACTCCTTGTCTTCTAGGAGGGACCCAAACCTTTTCGTGATGCCTGCCAGCATTGCGTCCACCAGAGGACTGCAGTACAGGACGTCTTGTGTTACTGCCAGTAACACAAGACGTGATTGGCTGACAAACATTTGATGACATAGTCAGCCGTCAGTGTGGGCGTGGCACATGGCTTACGATACTTAGCATTAAATCAGAGATTTTAAAACATTTTTAGCGGACTGCCAGTTAGCGGAACTAAATTTAGCGGAAGCTAATTGGTCCGCTAAAGGTTTTCAAAGTTAGCTGAACAGCTAATCCGATAAGGAAAAAGTTAGCTTCGCTAATTAGCGGTTAGAACAGAACTGTGCCCACCACTGCACAGTTGCAGTAAAATGAGTCTGAATGACTAGTGACTACAAATCTCCAATCAGTTTGATCATGAAAATAAATCAATTAATACTTATACATGGAATCAGGAATGATCACAATTCACGAATAAATATTACTTACTAAGTTACTATGCTCAGAAAATGAAGACTAGCTTAGTCAGTTATCAGTAACCCACTCTAGGAGAAACTGGAGATCAGAGTAAGAACAGCACTTAGCAGTCAGCACACTTCAAAACTGTTACGTGAATTACTTACGCGCCAGTAACGGACTATAGATGTAACGGACTATAAACAAAGGACAATAAGGTAGACAACACTTGAAAGAATTTTGCACGCGTTAAAAGGGTTGAAAGCCTTAAATTCAGTCGCAAGCCTTAAATTTATATTAATATTTTTGCTTTCAAAACATACATTTTATCTCCTATGTATATCGATTATCGGCTGCCAATCTGCAACAAAATAATGTGTCAATCAATGTAAATAGTCATGGCACATACAACGATAGGGTGAAAATATATAGATACCCAAATTATAACCTAAGCCCAACAACTCATTGCTATTTAAATTAAAAACTCATAAAGCAATTCAAGTGTTTGAAGAACTTCAAAATCCGAGGTAGAGGAAATTCTGGTAAATTTTAATAGACTGATTCAACAGTTCTGAGACAAATTTCCACTGAAAATGTTCCACGTATACTTTTGTTAAATCAAAACCGATCTTGACCTAATAAAATTAAGGATAGTTTTTTCGATATTATTTGAAGTACGTAGTTCCCTTCGATATTATTTAGCAAATTAATGCTACTTTTTACCATCTGC